TAGTACGAGCAACTCCAATAGGCTTCTTAAACGAGCTCCTAAAGAAAATATAGGTAGAAGTTTGGAAAAATTAATCTCCAATCCCATCCCTACTATGCTCTAAGATGGCAAAACCTCTAGGAGCTCCTAAATCTAGCGAGTGAGAAAGGAGCTCCTAGCATTAATTATTACAATTTTAATAATATGAAGGTAGTCCAATATCCTAATAGATAGGGTATTAGGTTTATACCCATGCGTCCTACGATTGAAACTCCCCCTCCTCTAAATTAATCTAATAGTTTCGAACTCCTCCCCCTCCGCTTAAAATACAATTTTATTAAATTGTAAATAAAAGCAAGTGGCCTACCACAGTTGTGGAAAAGAGTTGAGTTCTTGCATGAGGGTGTGGGTTCGAACTCCGTCGATAACTAATCTAATATTTAATCTAACAAAATCTATCGTTTGACAAAAAATAAAAAATAAAATCATATAGTTCACAAAATCACAATTATCATGATTTTCTAAAATAGAGAGTAAGATCGGAGTTTAAATTTTATAAGGAGTTCAAAATAACTTTTTAATTTTTTTAGCTACAATTTAACTTAAAAATAAAACATGATTGGAGATGCTCCAATATAATCTGTCACTTTCAGCAAGTCCAAATCCAAATATCACAAATTTTTTTACAAGCCCAATATCATATTGTTTATCTGGTCTGGCAACCTTGATCCAGCCCAAATATTAACTAATCACTATCTGGGCCATTCTATTAGGACATGAATTGGCTTGTGTTGGACCTCTCAGAAATGACTTGGCCCATTCTATTTAACCCATAAAATGACGAAATATATCACCAAAACCAACTAAAAATTGCAAGTGCATGGATACAAAAAAAAGAAAAAGAAAAAGAGACAGAATAATAAGCTAATTGTTGTTCCCTATTTAGTGAGGGAAGAAAAAAGTTCCTTTTGTGTGTGTGTGTGTGTGTGTGTGTGTATTAAACAATATAAAGAGAAAAATTTCTCACAAAAAACACAAAGTCTAACGGAAAAGAATCACCTATATTACATAAGAATTCTATCATAACTCTACCTAGTATTTACACAAACACATAACATCAAATATTAATTAGAACACTTTCCCTGGAGTACTTAGAGAAATGTTGAGGAGATTCTATCAAAAGTGAGGCTCTAGACTCTATGTCACCTTATATTTTGGGCACAATGTATTATAATGTTGGCACGAGAATTGACCTTTACAATGTGAGGTGGTATATAATTTATGAAGAGATCACTTTTGAGAGAGTCCCTTTAGCATTTCTCAAATACTTAAATAGTAGTATCAGATATTCAGGTAGGACGTCATAATAGTTGATGAAGTTACCTTGCATGCACTTATATAGAATATGCGAGTCATACATAGAGAACTCCACCTGAGTAAATCTCACAAAATTTGATTATGGTAAAGCAATGTGGGACAAAACATATAATCTAAGAAGAAAAGTGAGTAACTGCAATAAGTCAAAACTAAAGTCTTCTAGATGCAAGTAAAACGCCCACAAGAGTAAATAGGCCTCGTAAGGCAACAAAAACTCAATGGGGCAAAATAATATTGATCATAGGGAAAAAGGTGCACTAAGGTAAAATAAGTATGCTTCAGAATACTCCCCTGAGTTTGATAAAACTCTCCCTAAGAACTACAAGCGTTGCAAATCAGAAAATTCACTCATGCCAATTTCAAGAACAAGCTTTTGAAAAGTAGACTTCCGTAGTGACTTGGTAAAGTTGTTTTGGGAACATAGAACATATCTGCTTGACTTCAATTAATTTTTGATGCTCTTACTACTGATAGGAGAAGAACTTCAGCGCAATATGTTTGGGTTGTCTTATTTGATGTATCCCTTCCTGGTTTGGTTGATACAAGCGGCATTGTCTTCATAGGTCATTGTCGGTACATCAATGACGGAAGGAAGTCAGCAAGTGTTCCGAATATACTCAACAATAGCTCTCAACCATAAAAATTCATGTGTGGCCTTGTGAAGGACTAGAATTTCAATGTTTTGAAGAAGTCGCAACTAAGGTTTGTTTGGTTAACCTTAAAGATATTGTGGTGTTTCCAACGTTAAAGACATGACTAGTTTGAAAACGTGCCTTATGCAGGTCATATAAATAACCTGCATCAGCATATCCAACAAAGCAAACATAATTTTGAAAAAAATAATGCTAGAGAAACCAAATTTATAAACTAAATTTGCAAACCAAATGATGTGTCACCACTATGAAATAGAGATATTAATCAATACTTAAGTAATAAACCAATCATTAACAACCACATCATTTGGTTTACAAAATTTAGTTTAAAATTTTGGTTTCTCTAGCATTACCCTTTCAAAAAACCAAGGGGGTGTTCTATATTTTGAGTTGCATAGGGATAGAATAAGCCCAATCCGTAGTACCATTGAGGTAACGACTGATGTCTTCAACACTATTAATCTCAGTGTCCATGTGTTGCCGTGTTGCTATATTTTACTAAAAGATTAACTGTGAAAGAGATGTCTAGTTTAACGCACTAAACTAAATACAATAAAGCGTCAATTACGCTCAGATATGAAACTTCAGCACGGAATGAGAGTTTTGAGTTTATGGGTAGATAAGACGTGACATCATGTGAGAGGTTGGACAAACACATCTTCGACCCTCGTATTCTATCTTCATTTCAGAATCACACGAGCACAGCTAACCTCCATCATGGTCGTCTTGTTTTCTTTCTTTATTAATGCTCTCTCTCTCTCTCTCTCTCTCTCTCTTTGTTGGGTGTTGATTACATAATCCCACTATCATACCCGGCTTGTTTACTCTATAAGTAAGGTTCTGACTAGTTACTTCTGGCCAATCAACACCAATCAGAAATAAGATACCGTAAGCCAAAAACAAGTAAAATGAACTTAAAAGGGAAAAATTAAGATAAAGGGAAAAAAGGGAATTTTTTTGTGTGCTGCATATTTCTTTACATGTTAGAATTTGAGTAGACGAGAAAGAGAGAGAGAGATAGGAGGTAGAGGGGAAGTTGTTAAGAATGAGAGGCACGTGACATGCACCATACCATTCACTTCCCTAATTTCTTCATGTGTGCAATGTGTCACCCGTGAGTCAAAGTCAAATCCCCTCTGTCACGTGTCAAATGTAGCTCAATCCCATATGTTCCCACTTTCACACGCTTCAACCCCTCTCATCAGATATTTATTTATTATTTTCATATTTGATCAATTAATATATCACCATCTCTATAAATTAAGCCCCTGACGCTTATGACAAAACCAGGCTAGGCTAACACATCCTCTCTGCTCAGATCAGAGGTACTACTTGCTCTTCTTCTTTTTATTATCTTCTGCGTTTTTTCTAATGGACGAAACATCTTCTGCGTTCTGCTATTCGTGTTTTACTTAATTTGGTTACTTTATAAGTTCTATGCATATTCTGAGTACAACAATTTTACACCAGATGGAAATAAATTTCCAGCCGTACAGAATCTGAAGGAAGAGATTCTATGCTATTTTTATACATGGATGAGTACTTTCCGTGCTGTGCTTGTCATGCGAGCAGCCCTTTCTTGGATTGCCCTTTGTTTCGTTGTCTGTTCGACCTTGATATATATATATATATAAACCCTAGCTCGAATTGTCTTGCATAGTTATAGGATTAGAGAATATTCAGCTTCCAAGACCACTTTCTTTTTTTCTTTCGTGAGTAACCAGATTTGTTTATGTGTCGATCAACTTTTTAATTACTATAATTGTTTTTGGCTTTTCTCATACATATTCTTAATTACCTGGAAAATGTGCCCACCCTCCATGAATTTCGTTACATGTGTGCATTTTGTTGTTTGGTAGATGTACAGCTTTGCATGTGATTTTCAGGTACAGTGAGAATTCCAAAACGCTAGTTGGGTGCATATCTATGTAGATATATAGCTAGAGTGAAAGAATATCCATTCAATTTCAGCCTCTAATAATGTTATCAACTTTAGTCTAATTGGAGTTTTGGTTCATGAACTACAAGGTCATGAGTATTGGCCCTTGAACTTGTCACAATATAGAGCAATGGTCCATTTGAGTAACACTATCAGAAATTTCATCCAAAATAAAGAGTTTAAAAGGTAAAATAATGAGAAAATTAGGTTCACATCATTCTTTTTGTTACTCCATTGATTAAAATCCTATTAATTTTCAATTTTTGATCAAGGTCCTTAGGTATTAATAACATCATTAATTATTCAAATAATAAAATATTTGTATTTTTAAATATATTCCTTTAATGTTAAAAATGTTACAATATTAGTTTATTTTTAGGTATATTTTTATGGCTAAATATTTTTTTATATTTATTAATTTCTTTTATTTTGTACCCATATTTTAAATTTTCTTTTTTTTGCCCATATTTTTTACCCATATATTAGTTTCTTTTTGTGCCCATATTTTTTAAAGTTTTATTTGTGTTTGTACCCATGTATATACTGTCATGTGACATTGTATATTTAATCAATGATACAAAAATTACATATGGTATATTTATGTTTTATGCCTAAACTTTGTATCATAAATTTATATTTTTAGTTTGTACCCACTTTTAATTTGCAACATTTTTTTTTTAAATTTGTAGTATTTTCTTTTTAGTTTTATTTTGTACCCATGTATTAATTTCTTTTAGCGCCTATATTTTTAAAAAATTCATTTTTATTCATAATTTTTAATCTTTTATCTATACCCTAATTTATTTCTAATGTACCCATTCTTCTTTATTAATGTACCACTTTGTTATATGTGAAAGGTACCAAATTTTTTGTAAAATGTACCAATTTTTTTAACACTATGAATACATTCTTTTGCCATTTATTATTTCTTATTTTTACATAGTTTTTATACATTTATTCAATCAAAATATTTGAATTTTTTTATTGTAACCGTTTCTAATAGTATTATAATGAGGGATTTTAAATTTATAGGATTATAAATCTCATAAAATATCAAACAATTAATGTCAAAACTATAAAAATATAAATATTAATAGTAATATAATGAGGTGTACAAAGTCAAGGGACCTTGATCAAACTTTGAATACTATTAAGGTTTTAATCAAAGAATGTTAAGGGTTAGAGACCGTATCCAAAATATCCCGTAAAATAATGGATGGATATATTATAACGAAGTTACCCACAAAGACTTTTGCTACAAATCGTAATAAGTAATTTAGAGAGGAATACTCACGAGTTTTTAGTTTAGGAACATTTAACTAATTAAGATCCCGGGATCATTATTGCTCCAATTAAACCATATATTTGTGTATAAGCTAGTTTTAATAGGAATATGTTTGTATTTACTTCATCTTAAACAATATATAATTGAATTAATGGGTTATATTGTCTTTCTCATGACATATGGAGGGTAGCATATTTTTACACAACTGAAATATGGACTGCTAATTAACGTTGAAGGCAAGGTTAAGATTCTAGCACATATAGATGGCTAGAGTGATGCATGCAATTAGTTTTGGCCCTTTTACATGATCAAGGGTCAATGGCAAGGTGAAAATAAGGTGATGTTGGAAAATAAGAACTCTAGGTCTCCTCCTCCATACAGTTAAGTAATTTACCATACTACGGTTCAAATAACTTGATCGATTCCCTCTCTACCTTAAAATTTGAGAAGGTAGCTAGAAAATGGCTTATTGTATATTAGCTAATTAAGGGTATGCAATGCAAGGTTGATCTGACAATGAATATGAGGTTTATGCAAGGGACTGTTCGCTTGACAAGGTTTTGCATGGAATGTGACACCCCAATCGATCGCCAACCCTCTCTTATCTGTCAGTTTTCTAATTGTCCCCATTACTGCCACACCAATATACTGTCTTCACCGAACATGGCGTACACCAGCCCAGGCAGCACCTGCTATCCCGGTCTGATCTCTCTTTCTCTCTCACATAACTGAATGCTACTACTGAATTATATAAACCGACTATATTGGAGTGTACAATAACCGTTCCTACTTTTAACTACAATTGAGTATACAGATGAGCTTATTGTTTATCTTTATTTCCCGTATGTAGGGATGGCAATGAGGCGGATCGGGTTCGGATGTGCCATCCTCGTACCCGAACTCGAAACCGTAGAATCCCCAAACAGGTTTTCCCCATAACCAAACCCATTGGGTAACGAATTTTCTTTCAGGCAACGGTTTTTCCCATTATAATATTTTTTATATTATTAATTAAATAGTAAATTTTAAATAAAAAATTAAATAGATTACTGATACAATGCATATACATCATATATTCAATAAGATTAAATATTAAATACTAAATAGTGTTATTAATACAATTGATACAAACAATGCATGTGATAAATGGAAGAGGATCCTCTCCTGAGCTCAGGATGGGGATCCTCCTGACCAGTCCATCTGGGCCGTTCAAACTTAATCTAACGGTTGCAATTATTATAACTTTTAGAGGGTCTGCCTGTTTGGAGCTGTTGGATTAAATTTGAACGACCCAGATGGGTTGGTCAGGAGGATCCTCATCCTGAGCTTAGGAGAGGATCCTCTTCCGTAATAAATATTGTTAAAAACGAGATTAATACTATTAATAATTGATAAGAATATAATTTATATTATTAATGATTATTGATAACTCTCTTCTCTATATAATAAATATTGATATTTTTGTATTAATTCAAAACCAGTTCGGTTTTGGGTATAGGTTCGGGGCGGATACCCCAATAACCATAACCAAACCCGAAACCAAAAAATTTACATGACGGTTACCCATAACCGTAAAATACCAGAAATTTAATCCCCAAAACCAAACCGTTCGGATCGATTACCTACAGAAAATGGGTTTGATGGGTCAAATTGCCATCCCTACCCGTATGGCTAAATATATAATAGCTGATTTAATTTGTTTTCAATGACCCAAGCAAAGCCCGTGGATGACACGATACAAGCAATCTGGTCTTGGCTGGCATAAACAGGCCAATATGGTAAGTAACTGGTGTGGAGCAAAAAATAATTCAGAAAATTCTGGAGCTGACACGTGGACTTTTATTCACAATTGACTAGAATGTTCTTTATTAAATTGGCAATGCCCACATCCGTTCCACACGCAGTTCAACTACAAACTAAAGATATAACTAATAACTAGTTAATTCCTACCTTTAAGCTTTCCTCATTGAAGACAGGTCAGCCCTAGCTATTCTACACGCTTAGGCATCATATGTTCATTGTCCCCGTCCCCCACCCCCCCCCCCCTTCCCCGTATGTGGAGCTGCTGCTACAACAAGTAGTTCATTGTCCCCATCCCCACCCCCCCCACCCCCCACCCCCCATCCTCTCCTCCCCCCTCCCCCCCCCCACCCCACAAAACACTGAGGAATCATATGTCCCCGTATGCGGAGCTCTTTCTGCACACTCCCTCTTAGTTATGGTCTTTAATTGTCGTACAATCCATATAGGCCTCGTATGTGGAGCTGCTCTGCCTACTTGTTCTCATCATGTACGAGAGTTGTATGTATCAATCACAGATGATGATGCAAGTATTGTCCTTATTGATATGTACAATAATGATGTGCAGGAAAAGGAAGTTTCCATACCCAGATCATCGCAAGGCCAAGCTATATGATGACCCACTTCTGTTCCCTAGCTTGCTACATAATATAATCTGGACTGGAGTATACGTAGAACCTCATCAGCTTGGAGCCTGGCAAGATCTCTGATGAGCAGATTATATATATTGCTTATCCAGCTAATTAACTCTAAAAGAAACTTATTAAACAGCTCATGATCAAACTAACACAAGTAAAGCTATCTCCAGTTTTCTATCGTTGATCGAGATGTTTAAGGAGAATGCACATACAGTTTCCGTTATAAAAATGTTGGTTTGATTTCTAGCAACATATATAGTAGGAATATGATCTTCCAAGCCCTACATATGTAGGCTGAAGTTTTTCTTTGGGTTCTTTAGATATAAGCCCATGCAATACTTATTTTCTTGACAAAAACTCATTTCGTTTTAAACATCCAAATAAAACCTAAATTTGAAATAAACTGTCATGTAAATAAATAAATACCTATTATTTTCAAAATATTTACAATTGTGCCACAACACCCTAATTATGTTGATGAATTTAATTATCCACCATAATCATGGCAAATAAGTGCTTTATTATTACAAAAGTATATGCTTTATACTTGTCTTACCATCATCTGTTCCATTCGTATATTTGTTTGACAATCATTTTAGGTATGGTAAATTATTTTGCATGTATACATTAGGCACATTTTGTTATTATTATATCTGTGTGAAATAAATTACCTATGTTTTTAAGTAGAATATAGGTAATTAATAAACTTTGAATCAATTGGCTAAAAACATCCTTGCATTTTGTAGGTAAACTATTTTGCATGTATTATTACATATACTAGGCACATTTGTTATTATTATGTGTTGTTTGCAATCAATCAACATTCATTTATTCTGTAGGTAAATTATTTTGCATGTATTATTACATATGTTAGACACGTTTTGATATTATTATTGGTAATTTTGACTAAAACAACATTTGTATATTTGTGAAAAATACTAATTTACCTGTTACAATTATTTGAAAAGGAAAAAAAAATGCTCATTTTACATAAATGAGAAAACAACTATATAAGGAATCAAAACTCTAATATCATGTAATTTTTGTTATTAATATGCATTGGAAATCAAGACACTAAAATTTTTCTTTTCCAAATATGCATAAACGTTTTAAAATGTTTAATTGAATGAAATAATATAAAATAAATGTAGATAACAAGTAATAGACCCAAAGTCAATGATATTAGGGGTAATTTTGACATCCAAAAATACCAATTTTGCCAAGTCATACTTAATTATGGATATTGCTTGGTTGGAGCCTAGTCATTGGGTTTTTATTAGAAAAATTTTACAATTGTGGGTTTTAGTTAATAAAAATTGAATTCTAAGGGGTATACTCATATTTTCAGTATAGGTCAAATTAAGTTTATGTATAATGCAGTATTGAAGAAGTTGAGGTTCCATTATAAAACTACGTGGCAATATATGGAGAAGGCCAACTACTTATAAGCGCATACAATATAGAGAGAAGTCCAACAAAAACATGAAAAACCAAAAAAAAAAAAAAAAAAAAACCTCCAAAAGGCTAATTGGTTTTTTTTTTGTTCAAGTTGCCAACGAGGTGTCTCATCTGAAACCTCCAAAGCAAGAAATAAGCCAATCCCAACCCGATCAAAACGAAGATCCAAACACCGTCTTCCTTGCTCTCCTGAGTTTGACACGAGCACATCTAGTATTCGACCCTCGGATTCTATCGACATTTCAGAATCACACGAGCACAGCCTTTTGTAATAATACCCTAGTTCCCTTCCACATCAGCAGATATTTTTATATTGATGAATCCACATGGGATAATTTACCTTATTCAATCATGCATGCATCCTACAATATTTAAACAAACAAATTAGTTTGAGTGGTGTGATTTTCTTTCCACACGAGTTCGAACTCCTTTTTAATAATTTAAACGAGTTTACATCACTTGCATATATAAAAAAAATCTAGTGTATTTATTGTCCAAATATCATGAAATTTCGGCCAACCATCAAGGGGTACTTTCAAGAAATCTGTTAAAAGAGAACAAATTAAGGTGTATATAATCATCCGAAGCAAAAAAGTAACATGAAACAAATGAGTGGAAAGTGAGCTAGCTAATGAATTAAAGGTAATTTTAGAAAGATTGATTATTTAAATTAAATTTTGTAAACTATATGAAGTGATTGTTGACGATTGAATTATTATTTGAGTGTGATTAATGTGTTTATTTACTATCCCTGACACAACATATAATTTACCAATTGAGAAATATTTAGGAAACTTTTTCAAAGTGAGACTCTTCGTGAACTCTCTATCACCTCACAGTTTAACGTTAATTCTCGTACCAATACTATCAAATATTGTATAAAAAAACATAAGATAAAAGAGAGTCTATGAAGATTCCCACTTTTGAAAGTTTACTTAGTATTTCTCTTAAAATTTAGTCCGAAAAACTAATATGCTTAGCATTACTTGTGAATTAATCAAAAGCTATAAAGTAAGTGGTCCACCGCGTTAAAAGTTTTACATGAATGTCGGACTATATATGTTGTCCTAAATCCCTAATGTGACAGCTGATACAATTTACACCGTCCGTTGATCCTATATCAATGAATCTTACCTATAATTAACTATTTATTATGAGAGGGAAACACAACAATTAAATATCGATTAGTCAATGATCTGTCACGTGTAAAGTTTTAGCTGACATGAAGATCCGTATAGAATTCGCACGCTCCACCAATGATTTGTAATTGAAAGTGATAAACCATGGAAAGGTTCCTTCTTATCTCTATAAAATGAAGCTCAAACCAGCAGCTGTATTGCACCTCCCAGTTAGGTCTCTTGCTCAAAAGACCACGTTCTTCTCCCTCCCTTCTTCCGCTTTGACGTACGTATACGTTCTTCCGTAGTTTTGCTAATTATTTAGTTTGATTTACGTACTTAGTCCAAATCAAATATGTTTGTTGTGTTGTGTTTATTTATTTTTTTTAAATTTTTTTAATTTTTTTTCAGATGGGATGATAACTTGTGTGAGATTTTTGCAGAAAATAAAGAAATCTAGAACAAGTCAACAAATATATATGATCGAGGATCGCGGATGTGTTGATGTGTTTTGATATGGGTGAGTGGATTTCATGCTATGCTTGTCAAGTGAGCAGTACCTTTGCAAATAATCTTAGTTTCGTTGTCTGTTCGACCTGAAACCTAAGGTAATTAAAGGTTAGGCATAGTACCCTTGAAAACCCTAATTAGAAAGTAATCATGTTTTTTCTCTTTCTAAATTAATCAACTTGATTGATCATCTAAGAAGTTAAACAAGGCAGCTTATTAGTAGATAACTAGCTATTTATTCTGTGTCATCTTGGAGTATGACCTAGTAGTTGATCGAGATCGACTGCAGTAACCTATAAATTTATTGAGTTATGCATAAAACAGTCATTAAACTAGAACGGAAAAAAAAAGCAAAAACTCCCAAGCTAATCCAGTTTATATATATGCGTTTATCAGATTCATTTGGGAAGTGGTTTAGGTATCTTTTGGCTTTCCTTCTTTTCCTTTTGAAATATGAAGAAGAAAGAAATTGAAAGAAATAGTAATAGGCTGGCTATAAGTTGCGAAGTACCACTTTTGTGGTAATTTAACATCATAATTTTGATAATCGTTGGAATTTTACCCTAGTTATTGCGGCTGCGGCCACCAACTTTCTATTTTCAGGTGTATGTGGGTTATACTAATTGAATTGGATTTGAAACTAATCTAGTTACCAAATTAGATAAAGCTACTTATTACACTAAAGTAGTATTTCCTTGGTTTCGAACTGTAGAATGTAATTAGCATGAGCCGTATAAGCAAGTCCTTAATTAATTAGAAAAATAATGTGGTTTAGGGTTTACCTAGTGGTGACTAGCTAGCCTGCTACCATAGAATGTTGATAGGTCGAAGAGACAGCGAGCCTGAGGAATAAGCAAGAGACTGTTCATTTGACAAGGGTTTGCATGGAATTCAACATCTTGATTCTTGACCTTATGTTTGCATATGAAGTTTATTAGGAAGCGGATCAACTTTCATCAGAAAGGTGATTATGCCCAGATAATTCACTTCGTCTCTCTTAGCCTAATCTAATCAACTTTTCTTTCTTTCTTCAAATTAATAAATTTAATGTTTCTTGACAAATTTCAACATGTGATTTGTGATGATGCATGGAGGCTCAACTCACAGTGAAGGGACGATGGAGGATCATGATCAGTTGCTACTTAGAGGCTCGATTTGATACAAATGCCAAGATTTGGAGCAAACAGCGAAGAGTCAACGGTTCACTACTATATAATTACATTGACATTATTTCCCAGCTTGCATTATATATTACTTGCATAACACAATAAATATTGTGGAGTTTGTATCATAAAATGTCTCGATGTAATTAGACATGAAACAACTAAACATAAGTCATTCGATTTTGTTAATATTCCAATGTGAAATTCTTGTATTTTTATTTTGTTACCAGTATATAATGTGAAATTCATAAACCTTTTTTATGCTAACTGAATTTATATGGTTTTGAAAATTAATATATTATAATTCATTCCCTATATATCCGATACAAAGTAAGATTTTGAACTGAATTTCCACTTTAATATTCTAGTAGATAAGATGTTGAATTTTTTTATCCATGTGTTATGAGTTTGAAACTTTCTCGCTCCCCTAAACTAATGTAATAGTTTCGAACTATTTTCTTCCTCTTACTAATCGTAAATTTATTTTCTAAAAAAAGAAAAAAAAAAAAAACTCTAGCTAGGTTTCTAGTCTAGTTTTATCCATCTCCCTGCACACACTGATCACCACTGTACTCGCCGCAGTTTTAGATTCCTTGGTTTCTCTGATTCACTTTTATAACAAATTAGTAGAATTTGTTATCTGGTTTACCAATTAAATTAGGGATGTGCTATCTACACATCCCTTTTTACTTCTCACACACCCCTTGTTAATTTATGTCCGTTGATTTTCTTCATTTCATCCGATCCGATAGCCGAAAATTAGAAGGATGTGTGAGAAGTAAAAAGAGGTGTGTGGATATCACATCCTTTAAATTAACCTTCTTTCGTTTTTGGAGGGTGAACAAAGTGAAGTGGGTTTAAACTTGGTTTCCAATCAATCAAGATTTGTGGATGCCCCTCCATCCCCAAATATAAAAAAACACGGTACTCCACTACTTCCAGCTGGTTGTTTTGCAGTAACCAATTTTCCTATTAAATTAAAGAGTCATGCTCTCTTAAGGTCCTCAAATGAGAACTTGCGAATATCAAATGCAAATTAACCATAAGATTAGTTTAGTTTATAGACTTAAAATATTTGATAACTTAATAAAACAAAATAATAAAATGAGTTTTCTAAAGGTTCATGGATTTAAGTTGATTTTTCTTTATTAAGTTGTCAAATACTTTAGATCTTAACCTAATATAATCTTGTGGCTAATATGCATTTCATCACAGATCCTCAAAATTTAAAGTCATACTTACTACAGGGAGCTGCCATTTCCATTTCCAAATGTGGTTGTGTACTTGATATGCTTTTGGAGGAAACTCTTTTGCTTCAACAATATTCTATTAATGAGTCTTTTTTTCACCATCATAAATTATGATGTATACTTACTATGCACCTAATCATCTGCCACATGTTTTTTCATATAACTTTAGTTAACTTTCACATTAAATGTTACCTTTTTAATTTTGAAAAAAAAGTTAAATTAAGGTTAAATGAAATAATACGTGACAAATTTTTAAATGTATGCTGAGTATACACCATAATTGATAGTGTTAAGGAAAAATGCTCCTAATGTCAGATTAATGATTCATCTTTCAAGGAATTTTGCAAGGATACTTATGAGTAATGACCTAAAAGGTGATGGGCTCAAATTAAACAAAGTGAATAGTGTCATATGCCGTATTAAGTTACTAAACTACTTTAAATGGTATTAGTAAACCACGACTTGTAAAAACGTTTTGAAAGCTATGTTTCCAAAAAAAAAATATATATATGTCGTAGTCCCATCCAATTTATCATATACCATTTAGTCAAAAGGTGAGTGTGAAAATAGTATGAGTAGCGTTTCAAATTTTTTCGATACATTCAAAATTTCGTAAAAATATATAAAAGTTAGAAAAAGATATGTAAAGAGGGAGAAGTTTAGACTTCACCATAAATTGGAGAAACTTTTAAATTTTAGCTAAAATCGACAGTTTTGGTCTCTATTTTTGACATTTCAGTTAAATATCAGATAAATTCTTATATTTTGTTTAAACTAGTGTGCCATTCTCTAAAGTTTATTTTTGAATTTCCACATTTTGACCAAATTTCTATCATTTCTATTAAAGGCAACCGATATCGATATCAATATATCCATCAATATTTTCATAAATTTGCATATCTATATTTCTCTGATACCGATATTTTAAACATTGAGTATAAGTGAGTGAGTATAACATCACTCATAAATAAGAAGTTTAACTAAAACCGGTGGTTTTTTGTTAAAAAAAAAAAAAACCATTACAACCAGGCCGGATCAGTGAAAGATTGTTACCCAAGGCCCAATAACTTCAGAACCAAAAATTAAGTTGAGCCGTCAAAGACCAGCCCATCTCGACCTTTTGTCCCTCCAGCTCCACGGAGTCCGGTCTTCTTCCCCTTCGAACTCTGCAATAAATAACTAGTCCGAGCCTTGAGACCGTTGATCTTTGCCGAGAGAGACAGATGGCATTCTCTAGTTGCAGCAATGTGTTGGGCGGTTCGCGTCTTCTGGCGGCGGTCGGAGAAACCCAGTTGCCCACGAAGCGCTCGGTGTCGGTGTCAACCACCACCACCACAAAGAAGAGAGCTTTTCCTCTTCAGGTTGCTACTTGCACTGTTTCAACTCACTTAATATGCTTAAAGTTCTTTTCTTTTGATCTGTATTGTGTTTAATAATGAATATTTGTTCTCTGAATCGATTGACCCTGTTTATTCCAGCTCACCTCAGTCACAAAAAATCAAATTATTTTGTCATTTTTATAATTTATTTGTGAAGTTTTCAACTGGAAATGCATCTGGGTTTTCCTTTATTGGGTAATGTTACTAATTTAGTTCGCGTATTTACAGATCAAAGGCATGAGCAATTTCAGAACAATGAATGACTAGTTTAGTTTAGTATATTATGTTCCTTACAACAAGAAAGCTTTACTCGGTAAATGGGGTCGGCTTTATGAATCTTAGAACTTCATTACGCTTTGTTTTGGGCCAAGTATAGCATATTCTGTTCCTTATTTCCGGAAGTTTAGCGAGAAACTTAAACCGTAAGATGTAAGGTTTGCGTGCACTTTTTTGATGTTCTAATGTTTGTTATGAGGGAGGGTTAGCTGTTTTTTACTCGGGCACTTGGCTGATATGGCCTATGTTATGTGAGGCTACAGAGCTATTTGCAGTTAGTTCAGTTAGTTGGTTCAAAGGAAATAACTAATTTGCGTCATCGAGTGCAGACTGCTATGCAGTTGTTATGGGAAGCTTTCGTCTCGTGCCATGTGAAACTAAGTGTATCCTTTCATAAATGGTACCCCTTACCATCGTTGGTTGTATAAGTGTTGTTTCTAAGCAGCTGATCTGCTTACTTTTGTCCCTATCGAAGCAAGTTAAGAGCATGATGTTAAACCATGGGCCGTGGCATCCTTAAATTTCATAGTTGGCATTTTATTTCATTGTAACTCCGCATCCGCCTATCCGGAGTTTCACTCAAGCAGAGAAGAGATAATCACACTTATCGTCCATAGAATCTAGCAATCCTATGTTTTTGGTGGAGATAAGTTATGAAGATTTTGATACTAGGTCTCGGTTAGGCGGGCCACATGTTTTGTAATCTTTACCTTGTGGTTCACATTGCTAGAGTTAATTTCTGTCCACAATGTATGCTTAATAATTTATGTAATTAAGCTTATCTTGATGAATTCATGGTGATCTCAGTAAGAAGTACCGAACTTATGATCTGTTTTGTCATCTCCAGCTTCAATGGTTTCATCCCAAAGGTCTAAGCACTGATAAATTTTTCTTTTCACATATACAAATGGATCACGAATTAAGAAGATGGATTAAATTTGGCTTTGTAGTAGGATGAGTCTTTTTTGGTTTTATGTGCAGTTGTCCATTATGCTTCAGGTTATTAAGGTCCCTTTGAACTGTATTCTCGAAAAGTGATTAAGTTGTAACAAGCCAGATTTAATTGTTCGGTCTTGCAGTTTGATTCTTAATTGTCATAAGGGCCGGAGATGTAGGGTAAGTAGGCTGCAACTTGATTTTTCATTGTTTAGTACTTTCGAGCATCATCTTTTACAGAAACTGAAACCGTGATGGATTGTAGAACAATTACTTGTCTTTTACTTCTCAATTCATCTCTGAGATGTGATGTTATCTTTGCAGTTGAGAAGTGAGGGAAAAGAAAAAGTAGAGGCTCCGAAAGCCTTTGGAGTTTCACGAAGAGATGTGATGTTATCTGTGCCTGTTGGGACACTGGCAGCACTCACCCTTCCAATAGAACCTGTGGAAGCACGCGTTGTCAATCCCGAGATCAGGAAGAAGATTTTTGAAAAGTTAGAGAAGATAAGGGAGCAGTTTGGTTTGTCAAAGCCAAAAACCAATGACGGGAAAAAGGCGTACCCATCACCGCCATCGTCGGAGGAGAAAAAGCCTCAGACATTGCTACCACCTGTTGAAGTAATTCTCCCTTGAGATGGGTAATTGTCGATTCAGATAAATGGTCATCCCACTGTTGGGGTAGATCAAACTTTTTGTTTGGTGCGGACTTTTGCCCTGTTAGTTGAGAACTTTATGAACCTATGAGTAATAAACCTATGAGTGCGTGATCATTTTTGCTTCCTAGTTAACGACTTTGGACAATTCTGTTTTAGCTATCTGCACTCCAAATCAAAGTAATTTGGAATTTTCCTTTTCGACAGAGAGGAACAGCACTTTAAACCGAATATTTTATAATTTTGCAACGCATGAGGAGCAAATGAGGTTAAAAAAGCGTGTTGAACTTGACACTAGTGGTGGATTGTCTTGATGATTATGGTCTTCTTCAACTCATATCGACTCTAATTCTAACCCTCTCTCTCTTCTTAGTGTAGTTTAGAGTAGACATAATCACTTGTGTTTAGCTGATTCTTTTTCTTCAACAAAATATTATAATAATTGTTCCAATGTTGGTAAATGGCATTGTATTTTGGAAGATCAAATGTACAATAACAATAACAACGCCATATCTTACTAAGTGGAGTCAGCGGTATGAAATCCTAGAATATCATTGTACTTAGTTTTGCACAAGTATGATAAAAACTAATTTATTCTATTTCATAAAATGAGCAAACAACTGATAAGTGTCAAAATAATAATCTGCTAAATGAAAACAAATACAAAAAAAAAACCAAAAACATGAAAAACCCAAAAAAAAAAACAGCCTCCAAAGGGCTAATTGGTTTTTTTGTTCAAGTTGCCAACGAGGTGTCTCATCTGAAACCTCCAAAACAAGAAATAAGCCAATCCCAACCCGATCAAAACGAAGATCCAAACACCGTCTTCCTTGCTCTCCTGAGTTTGACACGAGCACATCTAGTATTCGACCCTCGGATTCTATCGACATTTCAGAATCACACGAGCACAGCCTTTGTAATAATACCCTAGTTCCCTTCCACACCATCAGATATTTTTATATTGATGAATCCACATGGGATGATTTACCTTATTCAATCATGCATGCATCCTACAATATTTAAACAAACAAATTAGTTTGAGTGGTGTGATTTTCTTTCCACACGAGTTCGAACTCCTTTTTCATAATTTAAAAGAGTTTACATCACTTGTATATAGGGTTCTTTAGAAAAAGGCTATTGAAACTCCTATTTTCCAAACAAAAACCCACATAATATTAAACATCCAAATAAAACCCAAATTTCAATTAGAGTACCATGTAGACAAATATGTAACCAATTATTATCACATATTTACAACTTATGCCACAAAACTCTAATTATGTCAATAAATATTATTACTCACCCTAATTATGATTAGCAATTAACCCCATATGGAAATTTTACCTTTCTTGTATGATAAATATTAGGAATATATATATATATATATATATATATATTTAGCCATGTTCATAAACAATTATGGGCACATTTTTCGTATGAAAAAAAAAAATCCTTTCTACAATCAGTTATTTTGCATCAAATAATAATATTGTTTGATAAAAACAACAAAGAACCAATTAATATTCTTTTATGTTGTAGGTAAATTATTTTACCTAGATTATTACATACATTAGGCATCTTTTGTTTGTTATCATATATGCTTGTTAAAAATAATTTATCTATATTTATATGTAAAATATAAGAAAATTAATTTTGAATCAAATAGCATTTATTTTGTAGGTAAATTAAAATAGTAGTTCCATTATTTTGGTAAAGTTAAATAGTGCCTAAATTATTTCGTAAAAATTAAACCAAGAAAAATTATCTCCATTAAAATAAAACAGTACATATTCGAAAAGAAAATAAAAATAAAACAGTAGATACATTATTTTCTTATAAGATTAAACAATAGGTAAATTATATTGTAGGTACATTACGTTTGTAATATAAAAAAAATTGAAATTCATAAAAAAAAGTAGTAGATATATTATTTTTTAATCAAATTTCCTTTATTTGTAGGTGAATTATTTTCATGTATTATTATGTATATTGGGCACATTTTACTACTAATATATATGTGTGCAATAATTTACCTATATTATTATATAAAATATAGATAAATTTATTTTGAATCAAATAACAATTTTTTTTATAAGTTTTTTTTTTTTTTTGAGTTGAAACGATAGCGATTTTATTAATGTCAAGAAGACAGCATACAATCATCCAAGAGGGTACCCTGGAGTAAATTATTTTGCATGTATCATTACATATACAGGGCAAATTTATTACTAATACACATGTCCAAATAATTTACCTATATTTTTTAAATATAGGTAAATTATTTTATAGTGCTCTTTCAGATTTTCATTTGGTAAGAAAATGACAAGATTAAATTAAAATTGTCTAATTTTATGCAAATTTGAAAAAACAATTACGAAATCTTAAGGAAAGTATAAAGCTTGTGACAAGATTAAATAAATTAAAGCAATAAGCGGTAATTCTAGCCATAGTAAATAAATTGCATTTAAGTAAATAAAGCTTGTGACAAGGGCTTTAATTCAGCACCATTCACATAAATCAAAACTTAAAGCAGTAGGCGGTAAAACCGTCCATGATAAATAAATTGCTTTAAAGTAAATAGAACTTGTGAAAGTGTTTTAAGCCAACACCATTCACATAAATCAAAACTTAAAGCAGTAGGCGGTAAAACCGTCCATGGTGCAGATGCATCATTAGAAACCTTTGTCCAAAAATTCCACTTTTCCAATTCTTTTTCACACCGTGCTTGAAACACCATTCCATAATCCCTCCTTCCTTTTTCTTATTTATCTGTCTGTACTAGTCTCAAACCCAGGGCCATATGGGTTGTTGTGGAGGTCACACAAAGCCAATTCAATCCAATAAGGCTACCAGAGACTAACGTTGTTCTTGCATGGCCCAGAGAACATGGCGTCACAAAGCAAGAATTTCCCTATAGGGACATAAATGATAGCGGAGTTCATGAAGGTATAAGAGAGGGATGCATTTGTGGAGTCAGTCATGCCATCACTATCTCAGACAACCAAGTATTCACGGGAGTTCTCGAGATTTATCGAAAACGATGCGATCTGGGTTTCCAAGTCTGATGAGATTTTTCTGGATCTCTGGAAACCAATTGTCAGGTACGAGTTTTCTTATCTCGTGACGACTACAGGTTGTTGTAAATTTCAATTCTCACCAGAATACGGCGGGGTGCTTCTGGTGCGGTGGGAGATACAGAAAATGGACATACCTTTTATTCTGTGAAATTTTTTGCTAGCAGAGGTGGGAGGTAGGTAATGCTTCACCGGATTTATGGCGTTGTGCTTTCCACGGACATAAGAGCTTTTTGTGCTGATAACGTGTTGTAAAATCGACGATGGGTGCAGTGGAATAAATGAAACAAGACACAAAATTTACGAGGTTCCTCTACAGTCAGTGTGACTGGAGTACATCCTCGGGGCAGCAGTGGTGCTTTCATTATAATTTGGAATAATAGGAGTACAAAGATAACTCTCTCTATTATCTCATCTCCTCTTCCTTTCTTTTCTCTCTTCCTCTCTTTTTCTCTCTTCCTTTTTTCCTTCCTATCTATCCCGTGAGTCTCCCCACCTTCTTCACCTCTCATTCATTTTATAAACAAAAGAAAGCACTATTCACTTTACAAATTTTCCACAAATGAATAGTGAAAATATTGTGCATAAATAGTAACAAACTATTCATGTGGCCCATCCATATATTATTCACAACAAATTCATCTTTCAAGGAATTTTGCAAGGATACTTTTGAGGAATGACCTAAGAGGTGATGGGCTCAAATTAAACAAAGTGAATAGTGTCATATGTCGTATTAAGTTACTAAACTACTTTAAATGGTATTAGTAGCGGGAACCGGATCCCCTCTTGAGCTTAAGAGAATACCAGGAACCGGATCCCCTCTTGAGTAAAGAATTCAGGCTGTTGGAATTTGATTCAACGACTACAAACAGATGGCCCCTCTAAAAGTTATAATAATTGCAACCGTTGGATCAAATTTCCACGGCCCGTGTGATTTGCTTATGAGGCTTAGCCTCTTAAGCTCAGGAGGGCATCCGGTTCCATTAGTAGCGTGGGTGGGGATTGAACCACAACTTGTAAAAACGTTTTGAAAGCTATGTTTCCAAAAAAATATAATGTCGTAGTCCCATCCAATTTATCAAATATAATGTCGTAGTCTCATCCAATTTATCATATACCATTTAGTAAAAAAGTGAGTGTGAAAATAGTATGAGCATCGTTTGAAATTTTTTCGATACATTCAATAATTTCGTAAGATATATATCAAAATTAAAAAAAGATATGGAAAGAGGGAGATGTTTAGACTTCACCCTATATTGGATAAACTCTTAAATTTCAGCTAAAATGGACAATTGTGGTCTCTATTTCTAATATTTCAGTTAAATATCAAAGAAACTTTTATATTTTGTTTAAACTAGTGTGACATTCTCTAAAGTTTCTTTTTGAATTTCCACGTTTTGACCAAATTTCTATCATTTCTATTAAAAGCAACCGATGTCGATATCGATATATCCATCAATATTTTCACAAATTTGCATATCTATATTTATTTGATACCGATATTTTAAACATTGAGTATAAGTTTAACTAAAACCGGTAGTTTTTTGTTCCAAAACAAAAAACCCATCACGATCAGGCCGGATCAATGAAAGACTGTTACCCAAGGCCCAATAACTTCAGAACCAAAAATTAAGTTGAGCCGTCAAAGACCAGCCCATCTCGTCCTTTTGTCCCTCCAGCTCCACTAAGTCCGGTCTTCTTCCCTTTCAAACTCTGCAATAAATAACTGGTTCGAGCCTTGAGACCGTTGATCTTTGCCGGGAGAGACGGATGGCATTCTCTAGTTGCAGCAATGTGGTGGGCGGTTCGCGTCTTCTGGCGGTGGTCTGAGAAACCCAGTTGCCCACGAAGCGCTCGATGTCGGTGTTAACCACCACCACCACAAAGAAGAGAGCTTTTCCTCTTCAGGTTGCTACTTGCACTATTTCAACTCACTTAATATGCTTAAAGTTCTTTTCTTTTGATCTGTATTGTGTTTAATAATGAATATTTGTTCTCTGAATCGATTGACCCTGTTTATTCCAGCTCACCTCAGTCACAAATATATTGAACAATATACCGAAAAACATAGCTTTTATTGAATG